GTAGAGTTCGCTTTTGTGAATGGATGTGTCAAAAAAGTAGAGAGAAACCGCAATTTGTTGAGAAGTTGCTCTCAACAGACAAAGCAACATTTATAAGAGCTGGTGCTGTTAATTCACACAATACTCACATTTGGAGTGATGAAAACCCCCATGTAATTTAAAAAAGAAAAAATCTTTCAAGAGCGATTTTATGTAAACATATGGACAGGTATGGTTGGAAACGAGTTAATAGATCCCTATGTATATTACCCCCGCGATTAACAGCATATTTAACTTTTTTGAAAACCCATCGGAAGACCTTATGGAGAATGTACCACTGGCAAGAAGAAGAGACATGTCGCATGTGGTACATCCATGATAGAGCCGCCGCCTATTACGCTACAGAAGTGAAAGTGTGGTTTAATAAAAAAAAATCTGGAAAATGAACTGGACGGAATGGAGCAGTTCTGTGGACTTCCCGATCATCTGATCTTAACTCATGTGACTTTTTTTAAGGCCATATGAAACAATTGGTATATCGGACTCCAATAAATAGTGTTGAGCAACTGCGAGGCCGAACACAGAGTATTGCTACTGAAATTAGAGCAGATCCCAATTTGATAAGACGAACCCAACAATCTTTAATTCGACGTGCTGAGGCATCTGTACGCAACAGAGGTTGACATTTTGAAAATTTGCTTTAATTACACACGGCAGATTTTTGGATTCATCTGTTTTATTGTTGCTAGGATTTGTATATTAAATTAATAGGAGTACTAAAAGGATGGTCACACGTCGTTACTCTTTAATTAAACTAGAGTTTTGAAGCCACTAGTTGGGGGTGTGAACGTTTGGATAAATTTTAAATTTCCCTTAAAACTTTATTAAGTCAACAAACGTTTATTCAATTTCTTAGAATGTCTAAATTCACCAGATTTTTTTTCTTTCCGTATAATTCAAAAACAAAACTACATTCGATGAGGTATGAGCTATAAGTAATTCTAAATAATCTTATATGACACAAGTAAAAAAACTGGTATAGATACACTCATGTTAAAGAAAATGGGAAGTTTTGAAAAAAATAAAAATCAAATATATATAATTTTAGGTCCACAGACGAGTATTTAAGGATCTTATTTCAGTCACGGTATGCCTTCCATCAACCGGCACCTAAGACTGATCTACTAAGAACAGCATTTTTAACACGTTTTTAATGCTGACAAAATTTTTCGACATTTTTGCTAGTAAATCCAAATGTACAGTATTGTTTTAATAAATGTGTAATGAGCTTAGTTATTTATTGTTGATCTTTAATTCTTACCATGTAAATCGATATATATTTTCAATGTTTCCTCAAAAAGACATCATTGCACAGTTTCCAGTGTTTTCGAAAAGTTTGAACCACTACAGAAACACCTTCTTCAGTTTTCTTTTGGAGCATCCAATATAATTGTGCGATTACTACACTGTTCAGGGTAGTAATCACTGTGAAAGTATGCCCGAAAAAAAAAATTTAAATACCAAAAGAAATTACGAAATGCCCTAAAAGAATATTTAAAAATATTGGAGGTAATATAGAATTATCTTAAAATATATAACAATTCTAGAAATATTTCAAGGAAATTAAAAGGATTAAAATAGCTATTTGTGCAATAAGATAGGAAAAGTGACATTTTTCCACATTCTAGACATGAGATTTTTGATCGAGACGAAGTCGAGATCAAAAACATGTCGTGAATGTGGAAAGACACTTTTCCTATCAAATTGCACACAAGATTTTGTAAAATTAGGTAAAAAAACTCTTCATTATAAATTTAATTGAATAATAAAGTATCAAGTCCCTTTTAATGCAATAAATTTGTTGTCATGGAAAATACAAACAAACAACGCAACATTTTGCAATTTTTCAACGTTTGAAGTGTTTTGGGTGTTTCTTGAGGTAAAAATGTTGGAAGATGATGTTTCATCAGTATTTTTTGATGTTGAAGAGTCAGCCACACTGGCAAGTAATTCACTATTGGCCGAGAAATCAAAAAAAAAATTATAAAAAGGCGTACAAGGAATTTGAGAAGTGGTGTTTGATATTGTTTTGTTTTATTTTTCCGCTCTACTTAGGAAAAATTTCACTTTTCCTAACCCAAATGTATGTGGAAAACTTGAACAATTAACAACCGAATTTTACAAAAATGTTTATTTAAAAGGGTAAAAGGAAGAAAATTAAAAGTTACAGAAGGAAATTTTTATTTAAAAGGATATACCGGGTCTCTCGAAAATGAGAGATTAACTTGTCAGTACGTTATGTATGGGGGTTTCGGGAATGCCAAAAAAGAAAATAATACTAAAACTCTTTTTGCTGTAGATTATGAAAAAACGCAGTTTTATAAAAGTAAACTTGGCAATATTGCATGCATCTACTGCGTGAATATCTCCGGCAAAAAAGAAAATTGTTCAATAACGAATTTTTTTATGTTAACAAAATCAACAATTTAAAGAAAAAAATGATGTTAAGATTCGGTGTTGCCACCCCTAGCTCTAATAACCGCTCGCATTCGTCTACTCATGGACTCAATTAAGGTGACGACAACTTAGCCCATTCTTCTTCAGTCGCTATTTTGAGCTCTTGGAATGATCCAGGAGCCGGGATCCTATCTCTAATTCTTCGTTTAAGTTCATCCGACAGATGTTCTACAGGATTCATATAGATATAGATATATAGGTTTTGAATAATTTTCATTCAAAGTCAGATTTGAATAGTGGCCCGATTTTAATGCTCGCAAGTTTAGAACCTCAAGATTGTTTTAAATTTTTCAAAAAGAAAACGGGATCCCAAAATTAACTCGAAAACAGGTCAAGTCAAAATTTTTCAAAAATAGAACACCAAAGTCCCCCAAGATTGTTTTAAATAATTTACAAAAAAATCCCCATGGGCTGCGGCACTCAAGACTTTTTCAAATTCCTAAATAATAAAACACCAAAAGCTCAAAAGATTTTTTTCAAGTTCATCCACCAACAAAACACCAGATTCCTTTATATTTATCCGAAAATAAAACACCAGGGGACCTAAAATTAACTGCGAAAATTTTGAACGTATGGTTTTGAAAACTTGATACGTCAAATATTTTTATCTGCTAACTCGATTTTTGCTGATTTGTACCTTCGCCTTATATCAGCAAACATGGTTGTCAAATAGAATTTTATTAAATTATTACAAAAACAACACAACCATATCTTTGTACATTCTAACTGAAGTGGTAATTAACCAACCATTGTCATGGGAGAGAGAAATATTAACTAAAAGTTTGTTTTAATGAATGTGTTGTTTAGTTGTTTAACGTAGCAAAAGAGCCAATTTTAAAAGCATTATACTCGTAAATCCACCAAAATGTGAGAAGAATTTTTTTTACTATTTTTCTCAGACTCACCAGTTGATTGTTAAGCGAGTAGCGGAGACTTAATCCGCCATTTTCCAGACACCTGGTATAGTGTAGGTATATGATTTGACTCATGGTTTATCCTTAGGTTAAAACAATTATTTTATGTTTGGATTTTTGCTCCTTATTTACTATAACTCTTGCATTCGTTGTATGATACACTGGACTAGTACGTATCATTCAAAAGTTTACAAAAGTAAGATGACTTTTTAAAAGCATCGTATAATATTCATGATTAAGAGGAAAAGTTAGGAACCAGTTAGAATAATTTATTGCATTATAAAATTCACCCAAAATCCAAAACAAACAAATAAATTTTTGTATCCGACATTTTAATAGTTTTTAATAAAGCGGAAATGTTTATAGTGCGTGAGTCGGTGATAAATAAAACTGCGTAGGTCAAAGAGAATGAATACACATGTTGGACTTTTTATTAGAAATATCGGCATGAGGTTAAGGTACGAAAATTCAAGCGTCTTGGTCCTGTCGGTTAAAATGTACTTATTTGTTATTAGTATACTTATTTGGCAATTATTGTAGTTCATATCACATAATACGTTTCGAAAAAACTTATGACAATATACACTGAAAGAACAAATAATAATAATATAATCAAACTAATTCGTTATTTTTTGTTTAACTTTTAATTTCGTCAATTCACTTAAAGTCGTAGACAAAATTTTACGACAAAGAAACATCATTTGTGTCATAATTTTTAGGGCATTTGTGTATTGTAATATAAGCTATACATACATATGGGTTTAGCCACGATTTAATGTGGTAAAAATTTTAGTTGTCACCATAAGGTCACTTATACGGCAGTAAATGTTCAAATCCACATCACATCTGTCACTTATGTCATTCTGTTTAAACACTTTAAAGTTTCAGCATTTTGACAAATCAAATGCAAATCCACTTGGTCTTTAAGTTTTGTCTACGACTTTGGAACACTACGGAAACTAAGTAAAAAAAGCTAAATTAAAACAAGTAAATCAATATCCAGTTGGAATATCCTCATGTGAAATATATTTTAGCAGGTATTTTAAGGCAGAATCTGATACCGATCTCTAGCGTTCACATCGCCATCCAAGCCGAGTGCCTTCAGTTTGTTGCCGTCTTCGTAATCATACCAAAAACATAAGATCGAGTTCGAAGGAGTTAAGATCCGCAATTAAAGTTGCTAATGTGCGACAAAGTGTAAAATAGGAGACGCTATTAAATCTAATTTGATTATTGTAGTTTTATTGGCTCGTCGTAATTAGGGAGAATATCATCGGGTTTTCAATATCTCATTAATGCTATAAAGGAATAACCCGATAACCTATTTTGCACTTACACCATTTATTCACACGACCTTTTTTCATTGTGCACACTTTATTGCCTTTGGAGAACTAAAGCAGTTAAAGAAGTAATTTCAGCTACACAGCGATATAGTCGTAAAGTTTAACTAGGTATTAAATCATTTTCCAATTTTCAGATACAATTATTTGTATGCAATCCTGTTTGTTCTTCCATAGTTTACATTTTAGTCGCATCTTTATAAAGCGTACCTAAAGGAAACATTTTGTTTTTCAATTAATTTCAACTCACCGGTGGCGCTGTAAGTGTCACGATGGCATCATTCAAGTGTTTTAAGTTGAGCGTATTTTTGTCCTCTTCATCTTGGTCGTCGTTAGGGATTTGAATAGAAGACTGTCTCGACGTGAAAGATCTCTTCAGAGCACCATTCGGGAGGGCATGCGACGAAGTACGCCGAAAAGGACATGAGGCCATGGTTGACGTGACTCGGGAGCGTTTACGGCTTCATTTATGTTTCATTTCAACTAATTTATTTATCTGGAAAAGCAAGAAAGACGTATAACGTTAATCGGCAGCAATTTTTTCCTTATATACACAAGTTACCAAAATAAAGCTATAAAAGAACTTCTAAGTTACGGAATTAAATAAGTTTATTGACGTGATAGGACAAATCTTTGCTTGGCAAAACTAAACTGGAATACTATAGATTTTTATTTTTGTCTAACAAACATGGATTCACGTTTTGTATGATATGTGATATATGTTACTCTGATCTACTTTGCTCGGTGCTAAACTATCTTGACTAGATCATGATCTTGATCAGACTCATGAAACTTAAGGACAATTTAATATGTTAATAACAAAACTGCTGCGTAAATAAAAAAAAAATTATTATTATTATTTGTTTGTATTGCTATTATAATTTTTCTCCAGTTTTCACTGCTTAATATTTTCTTTAAAAAATATAATGTAGGTTTACGCAAGGGTATGGAAGAACTAACAACGGACATGCTCAAACAGGGACATACGGAGCGTGGGAAAACTAACTGCTGAGACGACAAAGACTGTCCGTAAGCTTTATAGTTTACGATTTAATTAAAGTAAACAACTAAAAAATGCACAAAACAAAGGGAAACGGAGGAAGACAGAATACTTATTTCTGTAATTTTATTGTTCATTGATTGCTAAGCAGTATGTAATAGCTATTAACATGTGTAAATAAATTTATTAATGTTTATTGCACACATGTATTTGAATCAATTAATAATTGCAAAATAATTGTCCTTTTATTGCACAGATATAAACGCAAAATTATTTAAAATTTAGAAGAAATTTGTCTGAGTGAAATGATTTGTAAAAATCAAAATATTGTTTAACACTACAAAAAAAACTGCGCGAGAATGAAATTTGTAAGCTTCAGGCTATACTTGGATTTATATTTCACATTATTTAGGTGTTTTCCAAGGAGAATTCAATAAAGACTGCTGACTTTCTGTATACTCCTCCTTTTGGAGTACGGTTGCCTTATGTCAATATTGCAGTAGAAGGTGAAAGATTTTCTTGGAGAGACTGTTCAAAATGAAAAAGTATAAAGGTAATGGTCGCATGAAAGAACATTGTTGTTAGAGGCTTGGAGCATTCCATACATCATCATGTTTAAATGTAATAATACCATAACACCAATATTTTCAGAGATAATCTATAAAATCGACAAAAAGACAACAAACAAACGGAAACGTACTTAAATTTACAGTTTTTAAGAAAAAAAATTAGAATATTTAAATAAAGGACAAAAAAATAAGTAGCACTAAAATATTATACCCACCATGAATAACGATAAAATAGAGTTTATGCAAGTCGGATTTTATTACATTATACATTAAAATAATTTATTTCAATTTTTAAATTAAGTTACTAACAGTATAACTAGAGAGCGGATTTATAAGCACAAAAAAATAAAGAATAAGCGCTTAAATAAGCACAACATTTTCAATAAAAAAGTTTTATTTTAAGCAAAAAAGCATTAAATAAGCATAACACTTTCATTAAAAATGTTTTGTTTTAAGCAAAAAAGCATTAAAAACATAATCATATTACAAATCAAAGAACACTTCTTAGAACTTTGGATAAAATATTATTACAATAATCCTAGACTTTATATTTTACACACGCATTTCAGTTTTCTTTAAAACAATTTATGATTGTAATATGTTCCAAGTTGTCCACTGTAAAATTTTTTCGCCGATCATTTAAAATGTGTTTAAAATTGGAGAATGTGCGTTCAACATCCACACTCGTTGTTGGCGCAAATTTGAATTTTGCAACTAATGTTGAATCTAACTCCAAATTTTCCACCTTCTGGCCTTGTAAAACACGAGTAACGTCGGAAAGAACACCGAAACCTGCATTTTTATTTAACACTTCGTCAAGTTTTTGAGATATTCTAGTACCAATATCACCCTTACTGCGTTTACTTGTTGTTTAAATTCTTTCACTAAGTTTATGGCATCTACCAACAACATGTTGGGTTTTTCTAACTTTTTTATTACCTCACATATGAATTGATAATTTCTTCTTAGAAAAGCTAGATCTTGTCGCAAATCTTTGTTTTCCAAAATATTTATGCAATCTTTAATCGATTGAGAAGAATCTTCGCTAAACTCCGTAACTACTTCCTTAAATTCTTTGATATATTTGTCATAATAAAATGTGGCCTGTAACCATGTTCCCCACCTCGTTATAATCGGCTCTGGGGGCAATGGTATGTTTGGAAATTTTTCCTTAAAATGTTTAACAAAAATCTTTTTACCATTTGCCACTAATTTATTAACAGTAGGAAACTGCAAACGTATTCCTTCAGCCACTCTGTTTAAACCGTGGGCAATGCAAGTAGAGTGAATTAATCTGGGGTACAATATTTTTAGATTATTCCCTGCTTTCAACATATAACGAGCTGCATCCGAGATCATCAATAAAATTTTATTCGCCGGTACGGCATTTGGCAAAAATAGTGACGTAAGACTGTCATTTACAAATCTGGTAATCGTATTGCCATCTGTTTTATCTAACATTTTCAAACTTACTACATACCCTCGACTAGGGAAATTTTCATTTAAGATTCCAACAATTAAACTTGCCACGTATCTTCCACAACTATCGGTTGTTTCATTGACAGCGAACCATAAATAATTGTCTCCAATGCGATGTTTAATTTCGTTGTAAACTTGCTGAAACACTGGGCCTACATAATTTTTTCGGAGAGTACTTTCAACCGGAATATGTCGATTGCAGTGTTTTTCAAGGAATTCTTGAAGAGGGCCTTTCTCCAATTTTTTTAAAGGTATATTGGACTGGATCATCATTTTACATAAATCGAAATTAAACTGAAACTGCTCATCTTTTGTGGAAGTAGATGCAACAGATTCATGTATGGTCTGCTGTTTAATTTTAGAAACTTCAAACATTGTCTTCCTTTCTACATGAAGAGTCGTTCTGACATGTTGCGTCACGTTATATTTTTTATCACTTTGAATCTAAAACAACGTACATATACAGAATTAACAAAGGAAAATAGATAAAAAAAAATTAGTGGGCTTACGGTTTTCACACAAGCTCTGCAGAATATTTTGTTGTTTTCTAATTTTAATTCTAGAAAATCCCTTATCCACTTATCCGGCGTCGATTTTACTTTCGGCATTCTTTTAAAATATTAGTAATATTACCAAAAAGAACTCAACATGTAACAAGGGAGAACCACGTATAACACTGTACTACGACAGATGCGATAGACTGATGGTTGTGAAATAAACGGTTCATTTACTTAAAAGTTTCCATTAGAAAAATTTTAAGGTAGGTAGTTGGGTACAATAATCCTTTTTTCTAGAAAATCTTCAACGGTCTAGCCGCAAAATGCCGAAAAAGAACATCTGGTTAAAAGCTTTAATTCATTATCAACGGAAGTAAGGATTTCAAGTCATAAAATCTATGGAGTATTTTTCCAATCTTATAATAAAATTTTATTACCCAAACGACCGGAACCTATTCACAGAAAGGGTCTTGAGTAAGTGTACTTCAATGGTCAAGTCCAGGTAAAATGCATACGATACGATACGGCTAACTAACAAGTATTTGTATTCCCGACAAGGCCGGCATTTGACCAAAATATGCATTAAAATATAAGTTTTAATATGCATAAAATTGAAAAAAAAAACAAATAAGCATAAAAAAATGTGTCAAATGACTCCAAATTGTATCATAGTTACAGATATAAAAAAGTTTTGAAGCGCTTACATTTTTCACAAAAAGCATTAAACCTAGAAATCCGCTCTCTAAATATAACTATCGGTTCTTTACAAATAAGAACAGCTAGTTCAATAATTTTTAGAATCCTTTTGTAATTTAGATGCAGATTTAATATTACGAGCCCTAACAACTAAATGTTCGGACAAACTAACCGGAGCGTTCAAAAACCACTCTTTATGAATTAATTTTTAATTTTTATTATCAAATCACATAAAAATAGGAAGCTAAGATTTCAAAGAATAGTTTTTAATAAAAAAGTTGAATGATTTACTTTACATAGAATTTTAATTCAAATATGACTGTGGATTTTTCAGAAAAAGTGAATACACTTTGGCAACTAATTATTCGGACAAATAAATAAAAAAAATAATTTTCACTAAGTAGGCGGTGTGAATTGTTTGATTGTTAATAAATATCATTCTCCTCTTCCTGCTTTACCTAACTGTGTTGTAAGATCCATAGAAAAATATATATATTCTTTAACAAAATGGTTCGTGGACGTCCACTTAAAAAATCATTACGTGCACTTATTGTAAAGAAGTATTGCCAAGGTAAAAAAATTCGGGAAATTAGTGAAGAACTGAATTTAGCAAAGTCCACTGTAGCGGATATAATCTCACATTATCGCGAAACTGGTGGACTAAACGTTAAAGGAAAAAGTTCAGGAAGACCGAAATTAGTTTCAGAAAGAAGTCAAAGGCTCCTTGTAAAACTTTGTAAAAAAAATCGAAGAAATACATTGCGGGACATAACAGCACAATGGACGGATGCAATAGGGCATAAGCTGTCACGAGAATGTTGTAGGAAATTGATTCACAAGTCAGGATTAAGTTTTTATAAGGTAATTTTTAAGTTTTTGGTTTACATTTGTTCCACCGTGCCGTTACAGGCCAAAGAAAAACCTTTAATAACGGCAAATCAAAAGAAAAATAGGTACAACTGGGCAAAGTCTAAGCTGGCATGGACCATGGAAGATTGGTCAAAGGTCATTTTTAGTGACGAGTCAAAATTTGATGTGGGCGTGGGAGATTTGCGGAGAAGAGTGATAAGATCAAAAAGTGAAGCGTTCAATAAAGACTGTTTAAAACGAACTGTAAAGTTTCCTAAAGGAATAATGGGGTGGGGTGCATGTCAGCCAAAGGGTTGGGGAATTATGAATTGGTGGAAACGACTATTAACGCCATGAAATACCAACAAATTTTAGAAAACAGTTTGTTGCCCTCTGTTGAAAAACT